CTTATTAAATTAAATTTTACAAATAAATATATCAAAAAAGAAGAATAAAATACATTTTAAGCTGAATTAAAAATTTATAATTTTAATACAATTTGAAAATATAACTTTGTTAAAAAAAATTTAATAGTTTTAAAGTAATAATTATATATAAAATTATATTCTAAACAACTTTAGTTTAGATATATAAAAGAGTTAGCTTAGTAAAAAAAGTTTTTTATATACTAATATCATATTTTTAATTTTTTTATATAAAACTTTTTTTTACTTAGATAATCTAAGTAAAAAAAAGTTTTATATAGAAAACTAAAAATTTTGATATTAAGTAATATAAATAAAATTAACTAATTTTTATAATATTGACAAAATTTTTAGATTCAGCTGTTTGGAATTTTTATATATATATATATATATAATTTTTTAAATGTATTAACATCATTTTACAAAATTATATATAATTATTAACCAATAAAATCACTTAATTTTTGCATTAGCTAATATAAATTAATTATCTAATTACTTATTTTATTTTCTAAAAAATTAACTTAAAATCGATTTCTTTTAATTTTAATTACAAAAAAGTTAGTTTAAATATGACTTTATGAAAGAGATACAAAAAAAAGCAATGTTTGAATTTTAAATATATAAAAAAAAACAAAAGTAGTTATTAATAAAACAGTTGTCTTTTTTTAAAGATTAAAATTTCTAGTTAGGTTGTTGAAATAAGACAGGCTTGTTTGTGTAAAAGATCTGAGTTTTATATTTAATATATTTTTAAGTTAGCTTAGTTTGTTAAAGCATATTTAAGATCTAATAGATCAATCTAGATTTATAAATTAGGTTTAGTAATTCAAATTTTGTTTAGTAGTATACACTATTTCTTTTTTTTTTTTTTTTTTATAGTCAAGGTTAGCCTCTTTGGCTTCTCGCTTTTATTAGATTTGTAGAATCATGTGGTGCCCTTTTCACAGGAGCTCCAGACAAATATATTCTAACAAGGGTATATTCTAGCCATACTTGCGCTTTTTGAGCATCTAATTTAAGTAGTCTACCTATTACTAGATTCTATACTAGATGTCGTATCTATAATCTACTATTATTTAGATTATCCAATTAAACCCTCTGATCTGAGTTTCCTATACCAATTTGTCTAATCTTACTCAGAACATACGATATATAAGTCAGTCTAAGATCTAAGATTATTGTAAATTACCTATAGGACTACTGGCATGATTAACTGATTCATTCTTGAGTGTATCACCTGCTAGAGCAGTCCAGTACCCACTTATTATCATATTACCTAGTCTTTTTCAGATAAGTCTTGCCAGATAGGTTTTATACCTTTATAGGCAGGCTGCACTGCCAATTCTTTCTGCAGATAGTTTTGCCAGATAGGTTCTAAACCTTTATAGGCAGGCCACACCGCCAAACTCCCTAGTCCTTGCAAAGTTCATTTCAATCTCAATACCCACATCAAGCCGGTCCTTATATCAATCTCTCCCCAACTACCAAATCAGTTAGCCCGGATAGGTCGTTGTATTTAAGCTTTAAGTTTCTTCTGGTTTTACTTCCCTTGGTTCCTAATTCCGTAGCATAGAACCTTTTCCTCCGGTGCAACTCCAACGGCCAGGTTGGTGGACCCTTCTTGCTCCAGGGTTTTTTGTCTGGTTCTTCGGTCTCCGGTTTCTGACTTTCTGCAGTATCGTCAAAGATCATCACTACTTCCTTACTCGGGTCTTGCCAAATGGGTTTTAATTATTCTGGTTTTTTGGATTTTGGATCACTCAAGAGCTTCTATTTCGAGATGGTAGTACCAAGATTACAAGTAATATACTCGACCGATCATCGAATAATTGTTATCAGTACACAGGTCTATTTTTCTAAAAACATCTCCAGTGGGATTCGAACTCTAGACCTGCCGCTTGGGGGGTGACAACTTAACCACTACTCTAAGTCACCACACTCTGTATATACTATTTCTGTTTTACTTTACTTTTATATAAATACTAGGAAACAGGCTTTGTTAAAAGTCTGAAGCATAATAAAGAAGAGTTATAATCTAAAAAAAAATTTATATATAATATATTATAATAAGTATAATATAATAGGTTTAAGTTATAGATAACTCTAATATAAGTTCTGTCTGAGTCTCTAGTTTTAATATCCTTTGAATATAGAGTTCAAATAATGTAATTTCTTTTTTGTAAAGAAGTTTAATTGAATTTTAATAAAAATAGAAACATGGCCTCACCTTTGAAAATTAAAAAAAAAAAATAAGTATAATATAAATACTAAGAGAAATAAAAAAATATATTATATAATAATTTATAATAGCCAACTTTTCCTGATGATCACTTGTACTAACTTAACACTAAAAGCAAGTTGAAAATTCAAGCCTAGAAGTTAATAACAACTTGAAGTTTACTCGATACGAACTGTTGTCAATGAAGTCTTTAAATGTGATATACCAAGAAGCAGATATTTTGGACAGTTTGCAAAGAAGTTAAGTCTTGTTTTCTGTACTTTTTGGGTAGACTCCCCTTTGCATTTAGCATCCAAACCAGAGGAGTCTCTGGGAACAGCAAGTAGAAAAGAAAACTAAAGTTTGTTTGAAGATGGAAGACTTTGAAGAACTCTTGGAACAACACTTCTTGGTTGGAAAACTTGCAAAAACTCAATATTTTCCTGCTGTTTTTTGGCTTCAAAATTTTTGACAAAAAGTGGGAAATTCAGCTTACCCTCTCCAAAAGATCGGTATTGTTTATCACTTCTATATCAGAAAACTAGATGATGACAAATCGGCACATGTTACAAAATAAATGAAATGATAACAACAAGTTACGTGGAGTTTTTAAAGTCTTTATACTTTCGAATGAAGATATGGATTTAATTGGGAAAAGTCAAGCAAAGTGTTTTAAGATATACGTGTCACTTGTATATAATTTTTAGCCTCTGGCACAAGTTATAGTGCATTTTGTTTTAGTTTTATGTTTTCATTTTTGTTAAGACTCTTGCACTTAATAGTAAATCATTACTCTGTATAATTAGAAGTTTTTGCCTAGTCAGCAGATTTTCTTCTTTTTAGCGATAGTTTCTTTTAGATTTTTAGTTTAGTTTTTTATATTCCTTAGTATTAGTATTCATTTTCTTTGATATATTTGTTTTTATTATATACCCTTTTTTTCGTTCCCTATTATCCTCTTTTTTTTTTCTTTTTTCCTTCTCTATAAGAAAGTGTCATCAGTTTGGTGATATTCTATTATAGAATGAGAATCTTAATAGGTGAGCAACAGCCAGCTGAGGAATTTGGAAGAAATAAATCTGGAGTGAGTTCTGGATTACTGGAGGAGGCCAAGTGTTGCTAGGCAGGTCACATTTGAGCAAAATACAGTGGTTTAATGGTTCACTCTGACTGTAAGTGGATGTTTCAGCATCTGTGAAGTATATCGTGGATGAGTTTACTCTTTGGTTAGAATACTATAGATTTAGATTTCTTTGTATGCTGATGTAGGAATGAAAGTCTGTTCTCATAATAAAGTAAACAGAATTGCTGAAGGAAAAAAAATAATTTATAATAGCAATATATAGTATATTATAGTAAGCAAATAAAATTTATATATATATATACTGTATAGCAACATATAAATAATATTAAATAAATGAAAAAATTTTTTGTTATTTAGAAATAGAGTAAACTAAAAAAAGTAATATGCAAATATATATATATTTAATGTCGCAGCTGATGCTGAAAACGGCTGAAGCTGAAATTTGGGATCTCGATTTAAAAATATAAGCCCTGCTAAAATCCACATATACTTGTTAATTATCAAGTCTAACCCTAAACACTAACTCAACTATAAAAAAAAAGCGGGAAAAAACACCCCAAAAAAATTTAAAAAATTCATATCAAAATAGATCTGAATTTCAGCATCAGCCATTTTCAGCATCAGCTGCGACATTTAATTATAGATAAATAGATACAGTATATACTGTAAATTCTTGAAATAGCAAGTAGAAGCATGCTATTTTGACTATGTATATTATGTTTTTGATATTTTTATTAATATCTAAAACATTAAAAACAAACATTTTGGCAGTATTTTATTCTCCCAAAGAATAAAAATAAAAAAAAGAGCATTATAATGAATCTGACAAATATAATTATATTTATGTGAGTTTGCTAGTTTAAGAGCTATTAAATTAATATTGATCTATAGATTAGTGATCTTTAATATGCATATATATTATGTCTCAGACTAATGCTTGCCTCAGATGTCGATTTTTTGCCAGCATTAACTGTTTGATATTGATTAGCCTAAATTATACCTTAATTCTTCTCAAATTCTTACTCTAATCCTAACTTAACTTAGGCTGATTGACATCTGAGACAAGCGTCAATTTGAGGCACATATATATATCTAAAAAAGAAGATAATCTAACTTAAATAACAATGGTTGGGTTAAAATATGATCAATAGAAAAGTGTTAATTATTTTTTTTTTGAATTAATACTGGCAATAAATAAAGCTATTAAGCTACAATTTAAAAAATTTAATTAGATGATCAAACATATTTGATTGATATACAGTTATATATATATACGATCTTTATAACCCAGTATTCTAAAAACTCTAAATTTTAGTATTTTGATTGTGAGAAATAGGTTTAGCAATAATAATTGGGTAAGTAATATGCTGTGTTCTATATGTTTATATGACCAAAACTTTATTTAAAGAGACTAATCTCTCTTTTTCAGCCTTTCTTTTTTTCAGTCTTTTGCAATTCTTATTTTATTGAAGTCTTTCAAGTGAAAATAGAGCAAAAAGAATATTTTAAGAAAACAACTCGAGATACAGTCACAAATAAGAGACTAGCAGTATATTCTTTTTCATTAAGAACTATCACAGCTTTTGATAATATAAGGCTTTGACTCTTATATACTATAATAGACTATATAAGATTAAGAGGAATTTGTAAGTATAAACAAGTTATTGTATTGGTTTCTTAGGTATGTTGAATAGAGTAAATTGGGACAAGTTTTTTATATTTTGTAAATTCAACAGCAGAACTATTATAATTATCGAATTCTATAAAGACAATGATAGAAAGAGAAGGTGAGCTCTGATTATCTTCAAATAGAATATTATAGACCATTTCTAGTACACCATTAATTAATTTTGCTTCTATATATAAATTTGCTTTAAGTATAATACATATATTTTTAATTAATAGTAGTTGTGCTTTAAGATCTTTTGCTATATCTGAATCAGCTTTAGATGCTTTACTACCTGTATAAACAGCATGAATCTTAGCAATGAGTTGATTTAACAATCTAAGTTTACTAATATTAATTTTATCAATATTAACTTTCTAAGATAGGATATATATAGCATTTAAAAATTGTTCATACTCTCTAGACTGTATATTTGATGAACTATTAAACTGTATAGCAAATACTTTCTAATCATTAAATGTGAATTCATTATTATACAACTGTAACAAAATAGCTTTAAAATTTTATTGCTCATCTGAATCATCAGACTGATGTTAAACAATATCAAGCTAATAAACCTCTTGAAATTGTTTATATATAGCAATACCATCATTTGTTAATAGGTTATGACTAAGACTTTGCATGTATATAAGATAATCAAGCACTGATAGAAGTTGGCTAAAATTGCCAATTAGAATGACTGATCAACTACCACAGGGTTGATTTTGATATTCAGAAAAGGCTTAATGTAGTTGCATATCAATTAGGACAAGCATGCAATATCCTACTATATTTTTTTTATCGATTATAATATAAACCACACTATTTAATTTTTTTTACAGCTTTTTCAGATATTCACCAGCTATATTAAAGTTGGTGCCAGTCACTGAAATAAAGAGTGCTAAATGAATCATTTTTTAATGAATATTGAAAGCTGCAACTTTAGTTGGTGCAAGAACAATCATAGATGAGTTCTCAATACTATAGTTTCTCGCTATTAATTTTTTTAGTTTTATTTTTATAGTCAAGGTTAGCCTCTTTGGCTTATTCACTTTTATTAGATTGTAGAATTATGTGATGTCCTTATCAAGACATTCTGATGAGAATATATTTTAGCTATATTTGCATCTTTTGAGCACCTAATTTAAGTAGTCTGCTTATTACTAAGTTCTATACTAGATGCCATATCTATAACCCACTATTATTTAGGTTATCTAATTAAACCTTCTAATCTAAATTTTTTGTTAATTCATCTAACCTTATTTAAAACATGCAATATATTAGTTAGTTTAAGTTCTAGAATCATTGTGAGCTACCTATAGAATTACTGACTTGGTTAACTAATTCATCCTTGAGGTTATTATCTGCTAGAAAAGTCTGATACTTACTATTACCGTATTATCTAGTCTACTTTAGTAACTTATACTGAGTTTGAGAATAAGTATTTGTGAGCCAAAGCTATTACCATTACCTACTTAGCTTTGGTAAAGTTCATTCAAACTTTAGTACCTTCTCTTCAAGACAATCTAGTACCTTTCCTTTTAGTACTTTCTAGCTAGTCTTATCAAACTACTAATCTAGATAGTTTAGATAAGACACCAGTCTCTTGATATCTGCACTGCAGATTTTTTTCTTCTAATAATTCTGGTGGTCTGATTGATGAAGTACTTTTTGTAACAAACCAAGCCCTAGCCGAAGTCCGTGATTCGAATCATGATCCAAGCCCATGACGGCACATGGTTTGATATCATGATCAAACCTATGACCCTGAAGATTTTATCCAACGCTTGAATTATGAAGTCATCCAGCCGCAATAATCAAAGAACAATCAAGCGCATAAAATATGTAGTCATAGAATAAATTAGCATTAGTAATCGTATTAGCAGC